CCCGGGAGCGCGCGGACGGGCGGGGCGGGCAGCGGCGTGGCCCGCAGCCTTGCGCAGGTGTTCTGGGTGCCGACCTGCGCTTCCGGTTCCCTTCCTGGGCCCGCAACTCCGTCCCTCCGCGAGGTTCCTCAGCTGACCCAGGACTCCCATCTCAGTGCTCCTCCCCGGCTGGCTTTTCCTCTTTTCCTTACTTCATGAAGTTAAGCAGGCTCCGGAGTGGGATTGCGGAATTCAACCCCAAATTCCTGGCTCTGCCCATCTTACCAGCTGCGTGAACTTGGGCAACTTTTTCTTACCTCAATTTCCTCAATGAGGACAAGTTTTTTTTTGGGGGGGGGGTTGTCTAATGTACCCCAGAGATGTACGTTTCAGTGAAATATCCCTCAAAAGTAGTTACTGGCCTGCAACACTTTGTTACCTCAAATACGCCGTCATGTGTTAGCTAAGTGTTGCACTTTTCTGGTGCCCTTAATCTAACCAGAGAAATATTGCAAAGGCCAGACGAAGGTGTTGGGTACTTCTAGGACCCACGCGAGTCTAGACACCTCAGAGACAGACGTCTGACCCTATAGGCCGGACCAGGCGCTCTTCCAGGTATGGCGCCATCCGGGGCGTGGACTAGGACCTCGGAGAGCGCACCGTGGCCAGGAGCATTAAGGGCCCCATTTGTGAAACTTGGGGGGAAAAAATCAACAGGGAACTGTAATGGGGCTAAGTTAAACCTTACTATGAAATTTAAATCACCAATATAGTATTGTAGTCATAGGGAGAGACTTAGAGCAGTACAACCGTGTAGAATCCAAATACACACCCAAATATATGAGGTCAATTGAGTTTCGACTGAAAGTTAATTCAATGTGGAAGGTACAATCTTTTCCATAAATGGGACAGCTGGAAATCTGCGACATAAAATGAATTTTATACTAAAGGCCAAAGTTAACTTACACGTGACCATAGAATTAAATGTAGAAGCAAACACCATAAAACTTCTAGAAGAAAGCAGAAAATCCATGGACCTTGGGGAAGGACTTGAAAGACACAACTGAGAAGAAAAAAGGGGAGGGGAGAAGGAGGGAGGGAAGAAATGGATGAAAAAAAAACTTTTTAAATATTGAACTTTATAAAAATGTATCCAAAAGCAATTTTAAAAGTGAAAATATTTACAATACATTCATCTGACAAAGAACTTGTACCCAGAATATATAATGAATCCTTAAAATTCAATAAAATGGCCTGGAGACATGACTCAGTGGTTTAAAGTTGTGCTGCTCTTGCAGAGAACCTGAGTTGCATTTCCACAACCACGTCAGGTGGCTCAGGACTCCAGCTCCAGAGAATTGAAGTCCCTCTTCTCGGTACCTGCACACATGTGGCATACACACACAGACACACATACTCAATAAAATAAATATTTTGAAAACATCAGTAAAGCCATCTAAAGTTTATAGTGAACAAAAGACTTAGATAAACACCACAAGGGAAGTATAGAAATAGCCAGTGTTACATGTGTAAGTGCATTGCCTGACTAGTCATTTGGGAAATTCAAATTAAGCCCACAAGATCACTACTAAAGTAGCTAACATTTCGAAGTCCCAGCAGAGATGTGGAGCAATTGGCCACAAAACTAAAGAGAATACTGTTTATCAATTCTTTAAAAACAAGTTTATCAATTTCTTAAAAAGATCAACACACTTATTTGTTACATAGCCCAGCAGTTTCATTGTGTTTAACCAAGGCAAATAAAAATATATGTCCACACAAAGAATTGGACACAAATATTCATAACAGCTTTAGTCATAGTAACCCCACACTAAAAATATCCCATATGTCCATTTACACATGAATGGACAAATGGCAGTGCATTCGTATAACAGGATATTGCTCAGCGATACAAAGGAATATGCAACTGCACGTTCAACATGAATGAATCTCATATACTTTGAGCTGAGCCAAAGCAATCAAAGTGTTATAAAATGTAGAAAAGGAAAACCAGAAAGCATTATGAAACTGTAGAAAGGGAAGAGCTGGGGATATCAACAGGAATCCTTTCGAGGTAATATAAAAGTTCACTGTTGAGCACGGTTACAGTTTTCACACTAAATACAACATGGATGCACTTCTTGCTGTATAAATTATTACTTCGAGTTGATTTTAAAGCATCTTGAATGGTATTTTAAAATGTACCTTTACATATTAGTGATATACTTAATCTGATGCCCAAATATTATTTGCAGAATTGATTTGTATTTTGTGGTTAATAATCTCCCTTTCAAATAACCCTATAAAACACTGTATTTGAGTCACTTCTCAACCCTTTGGCTGAGATCAGAGGAAAACACTGAACATGAAACAAGGTACATCTTGTTTTCACAATGGTTGTAGTTCTTACAAAGGTCAAAATACATAGCATTTTGGAAAAATATTACATACCTAGGAATAAATAGGACCAGCAGATTCATAAAACTGTTCCTTTGAAAAATGAATGATTTACTATGTACTAGTTATGTATAGATGATATCAATGAATGAAAAATGAGGGCATATCCTCATGAAACAGTATTTTAAGAAAAACATCTTTAAAATAAACAAGATACATTTCATGCCTTGCGGTACTAAGATGTGCTCGTTGCATTAACTCCTCTTGTGCCAGGCAGATGCTTATCACAGAGCCGCCTCTTTTTCCTTAAAGTTCCATCAGTTTTTGTCTCATGTACTCCAAATCCTCTGTTATATGCAAAAATGTATAGATTACAGGCTATTATTTGCTTCCCTTCTCATTATTAAATGACATTTGGTAGCAATGATTATATTCATTTCTCTGAAACCTACTTTGATATTAATACAGCCACGCCAGCTTTCTTTTGATTAGTATCAGCATGATTTATCTTTATATCCCATAATATATTCTTGTGTGTGTGTGTGTGTGTGTGTGTGTGTGTGTGTGTAGGCTACAGGTTGATGTTGGATAGCTTCCTCAGTAGCTTTTCCCCTATTCTTTTTGTATGTTGTTTTGTTTTGTTTGAGGCAGGGTCTTACCATGTAGCACTAGCTGACCTGGAACTCGCCATTGTAGATCAGGCTGGCCTCAGACTCACAGAGGTCTACCTGCCTCTGTTTCCCAAGTGCTAGGGTTAAGGATGTGGGCAACCACAGCAAGCTTTACTTTATTCTTTTGAAACAGAGTCTTTCAGCAACCTAGAGCTCACCAATTTGGCAAGACAAGATGGCCAGCAAGCCCCAGGGACGCTCCTGTCTCCACCAACCCAGGCCTCGGATTACAGGTGCATGTTGCCATATTTGGCTTTCGGTGTGGTTGCTGGGGCTGGAGTTCAGGTGCTCAGGCAAGCACTTTACCAACTGAATCATCTCCCGGGCCCATGTTCCACAATATATTCTTATATTTAAGGTGATTTACGTGTTAGATGCTGGATGTTTCTGTGTGCTTAATCTTCATGAGCTTTGTTCTGGTACAGTTTACTGGAAAACAGCTTGATCCTTTCAGGCCTTGACTTTAAACTCTGTTGGATGGACCAGAGCGACTTTTACCTTAAAGCTAATCTTGCCCTGCTACTGAGGCAAAACACTTCTAACCACGTACCTTGAGCAATCTACCTGATAACCTCTGTGACAACGTGTGATATGCATTTCCTCTGCTCCTGTTCTTGGCCTACAGCTCCTGAAATCCTTGGAATCGATAATGTAGCTCATTTTGTATACTAATGAGATTACTAGGGACCCAGACCAGACCCTGGGGTTCCTGGATAGCCTTAAATTAGGGCTGGTTGCCAGGAGAGTTAGCCATGGGATTAGAGGGTTGGGATTTTCAGAAGCAGCACACCACAGACATGGGCAGAGGGCTGAGCCAATGGCAGTGACCAATAATTTAATCAATCAAAAATAAAGGATGTAAAACCCCAAAGGACAGGGCTGGGAGCATTAGGGTTGCTGAGCATGTAAGTGCTGGCAGGATGGTGCATACCAATGATTTCTGAAGTTTCTGTCATGAGAGGCTATTAACCCTAACCCTGTGCTGAGTGCCTGTCCGAGATCCATTTGTGAGCATTTACCACATGCCTTCCACATTACTTTCTTGTCCTGGCAGATCCCCTAATGTGTAAGTATGCGGTTCGCCACCAGGTGTCCTCTCACAGGAAACTTGTTTATACTGATGGCGCCTCGGGTGTGGTATTCAATCTAGAATTTTTCAACTTTATGATAATCAAAAAGCAATTTACATTCAGTAGAATAAGAGAGTAGGAAGACAGATCCCGTATAAACTGGCTTGGAGTGCATGCACCATAAGTCGAGCTATGTCCTCTAGGTGAACATCTAGGGAGAATCACCTGTTTGCTGCCCTATGCCTGTGCATAATGAGGTGTGCATATGATTAGTATCAGAAGTATTATAGGAAGGGACATGAGCCTTAGAGAAATGGTCACATTACCTAATCTGTCAATCAAAATACAGTGCCATCTGAACTACACCCCACAGAAGGAAGCCCTGACCAAGAATCAGGGCCCTTCACTCATGTTGCCCATGGTCGGTCTCTACAATGTATTCCTGTCTAATATGTATCAGCTGTTTAAGGTACAAAATATTGCTCATCTTTGTTAATGTTCTACATCAATACGTCATGTCTCTCCTTTAGCATCGAGGTGTGTTAAATTAGATGAAGTAGACTGACAGCATTGAATCTTCTTTGTAATTGCCAATTTTCTGTCTACCTGTTATATACTTGCCTTGAGAAGTATTGCAATAGCTAAAATATATAGACGTTTCTACTTA